TTAACTTCTGGGCATAAAAAAATGTTAAAAAAAATGAAATAAAAAAATTTAATAAAATAAAATTTCAATAAAACAAAACATAATATAATAAAATAAAATGAAATAAAATAAAATAAAATAAAATAAAATAAAATAAAATAAAATAAAATAAAATAAAATAAAATAAAATAAAATAAAATAAAATTAAATAAAACAAAATGAAATATAATTAAAAAAAAAACAAAATAAAATAAAACAATAAAAAAATAAGTAAAAAAAATTAAATAAAAATAAAAAACAAAGAACAATAATATAAAATGAACTAAAATAAAATGAAACTATTAATTTTAAAAATAAAAATTTAAAATTCGAGACTATTGTGTACCGCGCCGGGCAAATAGCTCAATACTTCGCCCGAAACTTATTCATTGCTCTCCTGTTTTAACCCAAGTTTTGATCGTTGAAATATTCAGTCGACAGAACAAGTTCAAAACATTGCATAAATAAAAGTAAAATTAAATTTGCGAATAGAAAATTAAATAAAAAAAACTTAAGACTCAATGCACGAAAAGATGCTAGGAATTTTTCTGTTTCTGCTCGTAAATTTTCACTTAATGAACTTGGAACGAATGTATGAGCACTCGCTGCTTGAACGCGTGCGACCGGTGCGCTTGTCATGAGAACCAATATGAAAAGAAAATTTGTTAATTAAATTCTTATATTTGTTATTTATTTACTGCATTTATTTTTATTTTATTTACTTTTGTTTAACTGTAAATTTTGATATGACTTAAGCACTTTAACTTTGGGGATAGTACAATATTATTATCTAATAAATATGTTTTAATTTCATTATTATGTATTATCATAATTATTTTATTACTATTTTAATTAGACTACATTTTTAATGCTTCTTTTCAATTTAAGACTAATCTATATAAGGGGAATACTTTTTACAGCAGTGGTACGCTTAATTTCCTAGAAATATGTATGTATGTTATTTAAATATATATGTATATTATTTACTAAATTTTTTATTTATTTTAAGTCTATAACTATAAATGCATGTTACTCATTTTTACAACATTTATATTTTTTTGACCGTTATTTCTTTTTCCTATTTTTTTTTTTGTTATATTATAATAGTTTAAGTTTTAGTTGTATTATTATTTTTATTATCATATTGTTTTTAATATTCATGACGCAGAAGATTATGATGTGATTATTTTTAGGTTTGTTTCCACTTAAACAATAATTTACTGTGAAATTAAAAACCTAATAACTAAATAAAGTGTGTTCAAAAACTACGAATTATGTATTTTGTAACAAATTTGGTTGACACTTTGAAAATAATTTTTATTTTATTAAGCAAAAATAAAATCACTCACTCATTGCTGGCTAGCTCAACCTAAACGAAAATGGAAATCTAAAAGAAGTCCACCTAAGCCTTATGAAAGAAGCAATCGAAGTTACCCCATATAGTACTAATGAGAGATTACTGTCAACTCTTATATAGGAAGCCAGAAGGTAGTTATACCGAGTTTTTAGTTTACTAGATGAAAGTTATCAAAACACAAATTTCGAATCCGGGACGACATATGATATCTTATAACAGTTGTATATTCATACATATATTCACACAATAATAGTATTTGATTATAAGAAATATAAAAATTAGCTTACTTGAATTGTGCTTTAACTAATCTACATACGTCAAGGCTGCCCTTTCAATGTTAAATCGTTAACAGATAATGTTAAAACTCTAACGATAATGTTAAACGCTATAACAAAGTTTTGCTGTTAAATCATAGCAGCCATTTTAGAAGTACTGTTAACGTTAATTGAGGAATTTGGATGTATATGCATATGTATATAAAAATGCTTGTTTTTTCCAATGATTTTCGAAACTATCTGCAGATTATACTGAAATTTTGTCCATTTGCTTCTCAGGCTCCTAAAATGGTTGGTACCATTCGGTGCGATTTACTTGAAATTCTTTTGAAATTCTTTTTGTTGAAGTTAACAGAAAGATTAATCTTCTGAGCAGAATCTGAACCAGCACATTTTCGAAAAAAAATCGAATTCATATTTATTTATATTTGAAATTCTACTTTCCCGTTTGAAAAAAAAAAAAATTGTTTTAAACTTTTGGCTGATACATGCCTAAATGGTATATTTTTGCCTCACTAATATGGACCAGAGACCTGGAACCAAGTTCGATTAGCCTGAAATAAAAATAACGTTTTCTTGACGGGAGAGGGATCATCGACAGATTGAATAAACATTGGCAATTCCTGCGGAGGAGCAAAAGCAAATAAAAATATTAATTTTCTCTTATTTTAGATATCTGCTTTGTTATCTTGCAATGTTGTAGTTCAATGCAGCTCGAGAGGTCTTCTCTATATTTTGACTCTTGATTTTGTCATAACTTCGAAGTACCTATTGAATTCCGATCTTTGGTGATGGCACAACTCAATCCGCTGCGGATCTCTGGTTGAAAGCAAATAAATCCAAATTGGAGTGAAATAAAATTTGCTGACTTAGTTACTAACCAGACTCGAACTAAAAAAAATATAATATTTATATACCTCCATGTGCCATTATCAAGTTCAAACCTACATTCGAACACTAGCAACATAATGAATTACAGAGAATTAACAGACCAAGCCGCTTACACTATACATAAAGTAAAATGAAGTATAAATCAGTTAAATATATTGCTTTTTTGTTTAATTGCATACTGTCATATTAAGTTGCAAACGAAATAAATTGTTTATGTTAATTTTATAAATCAAGTTAAGTCGCTTACAAAAAAAAAATATGTATATAACTATTGAAAATTATTAAATAAAAAATTACATACTAGTATTAAGACATTATTAATGTGCATGCCAATGTAAATTATTGCATAATAACAGGCGCAAAAAAATTTAACTGCCAATAGTAATTACTTTGTATTTATTTAGTACAAATGTGTATGGGTTGGAAAATATGTATTTTATTTAACATTTTATGCATTTATCTACATAATTATATAAGTATGTGTGTAGTTATTATATTTGATTTTATGCAAGTTTCACTTTATCATTTCTTTAATAAGGATTTTACGTCGGCATATACATACGCTCATTTCCATACATTTATATGTATATATTTATATTAATATTTAATTGCTAATACTTATATTACGACAACGGTTGTTTTTTACTTTTGTTTCGTTTTGCATATAATAATTAAAAATTTTTAATGATCAGTCATTTCAATGCAATTAATTGCAGTTTTTGTTTAACCTAAATGTTTGAGTATGTAAATAAATACATTTACAAGTGTGTGTATGTATGTATGAATGTTAACATATTCACATATTTGTTTGTTAAATTTATTTATTATTTTTTATTTGTTTTTTTTTTTATGAAAAATACGCAAATGCATTTCAATTTTTTTTGCATGTAAATGCATACATTTATGTTAACATATATATGTATTTGTAAGTGCTGTTTGTCAACGTTGCCATAGGAATATGCATTTGTGCTTGTCATTTGGCTTATAAACAAATATAATAAATAAATGTCTAAGAAATTTGAGCTTTATCTGCTGCAGGGATTTACAATGAATTTTTCAACAATAAACACAGGCATATAAATACATAGAAACGTATACTACATAAAACTGTCTGCATTTACATGCATTCAGATTTTGTATGAATTTGCGTTGGAGCTTAAAATGTTGCCTACTTTTCGGCAAACAATTAGTCACTTTCAGGTTTCTTTACAGTTATGCCAATTTCGTTTAAAAGCACACACATACACACACATACAGTTCCACACACGCGCACAAGCACGCAAATATTCAAACACACACAAACATATACAACTATTGCTAAATATACATATATTGTATGCGTGTGTTTGCATTTAGCGATTAACTTATTGTTTTTGTAGTTGCCTCTAGCTTCCATTATTTTTGTCGTAATTTTTTGTTTTTTGATTTTTTGTTTGTTCAATTTTCGCTTCCAAGTTGACACATATTGATTAAATTTTTAATTAATATATAAGATTTCATTATTCATTATTGTTAGAAATGTTCTCTTTTATGATTTTAGTGTTTTTGTTGTTGTTGCTATTATATATTTACCAATAGTTGTTATTAATTTGCAACTGCCTTTCAATTTTTGATTTTATATTCAATTATTACTTTCACATTTGATTTAATAGATTATATCTACCGTTAGTTACTATTTAAGCCTAAGAAAACTTTTAGTTAAATATTTTCAAGTACGTGTGTTTTTGTATGTATGTATGTACAATTAGTGTTCGTTTGTTCGTTTTACCTAATTTGGCTGTGTTGTTTGTATGTACGTGCATGTATTAGTGTCACAATTTACTTTTTTAAAAGATTTGTTTTTATAAGCGCCACAAATCACTGATTTTCATATTCGTTGGTGATTTTATGAATTGAAATAATTTTCTTTTTGTGTTTGCGTAATTTTTGTTAATAAATTGTTAAATATGGAATTGAAAATAAATTTAATTAAATTTAATTTCGTGAAATGCTTTTAATTAAGAAGGATTTTCAGCAAGAGTTTTATTGAAAAATCTTGTGGTAGAAAATAAATTGCATACTTTACACATGAATAATATCTTTTGATTTAATTTGATAAATTTCAATTTAATAGCTGAAGAAAATTTATTAATAAAATAAACCATTTATTGAAAATGCAAATTTATTAAATTTATTTATAAAATCTTTATTGAATTAAAAGAGAGCAAAAAAAATGTTGCACCAAAAATTGTTGACTTGTGAGGCAGCTTTACGTCGGCAAAAAGAACGTTCTACTTTTAATGCCTTCTCACATAGCTCATTTACAACGGTTTCATATTAAAGAAAAAAAAAATATTGCAGCTACCACTAACCCCCAAATGAAAGTTTTTTAAAGTATTGTATTTAGTATCAAAATTACCAAGCCTCTCCTAGACAAAGTTAAAGAGATGTGGTTTTTTGGACTGATAATAATAATTTGAGCGTTGAAAAAATCGCTTTGATGTGTCGTGCACCGTATAGTCATGACTTGACACTTAATAGCTCTTTTTATTACGGTAACTAAAAATAAACTGAGGGATCAATGTTTTTAGAGACATGGAGAGCCGGATCATGCGTTCAGAATGCCTGTTTTTGAAATATCTCAATCGTAGTGGTAAAAATGATTCGACAGTTCATTCAAACGCAAGCAAAATTATGTAGCGCTTAATAGAGAATATCTGAAAAGCAATGAAGTAATTTTCGGTGATTAATATTTGTTTTTGTCCTCTAATCCCGCAATATAAAAGGTAGCCCTCTTACCTACATTGTCAAAAAATGTGATGTTCTATGGCAAAAGGAAAGCTATTTTTGAATTTCGATCAAACACGAACGTAAGTTGGACACAAGGAACCCAGACAAGCTTCTTTTTTTGCATATTTGCATTATTGATAGTTTCAGTGTCGTTTAAAATTAAGAAACTCAGTCAGTGAATAAATAATATCAATGCAAATAAGTAACTACCATCACCGTTTAATGTGATGCCCCAATTTAATGTCTGATGATTCGTGTATATATGTAAGCACATCGCACACTAGCTACAAAATTGTTGTAAAAAATTTTAAAATCTACTTGTTTTAACTAAAGGAATTTACAAAATATTACTCTCGGAATATTGAGTATTCTGTAAGTCCTACTCCTTAACTGGGATGGAGTGTGGGTATTTTGATTTGTAAGTATTGATTTATTGCCGTAAGTATTGAGTATTTTTGTTTGATTTCATATTATATTCAGTACAGTATACAGATTCACTTAGGAATGTATTTTCAATTAAATCAAATTATCTTGAAAAAAGCCATGAAAGTCATCATCAGTCAGGCTTTCCCTGATGAGTGTCCCCTCCTATTTTTTTGCCTCTCCAGAAAAAATATTTATTACAATTTTTCTATTTAGTGTGCGATGTGTGCCTGAAAAATGTGTGTAAGTGTGTGTATAGATGTGTACATGTATTTTATTTGCGTACTTTAATTTATCCTTAACTTAACATCTCAATGCATTTCTGCATTTGCACTTACATATGTAACACATTTACTATTATTTCTATTCACGCTTAACATTACAAGTATATGTATGTATTTATATCTACATTACTTACTAATTTATATATCTAGTTATTTTTATTTTTATTTGTTTTTACTTTTTCTTCTTTTTTTGATACTGGCTTACCTTTGATCTTATAGTTGTTATTACTGTATTTCTGCTCCTCACTTATTTATCGACTTTCTTAATTTTTTCATACACTCACTTAGTTAGTTATATGTATGTATGCATGTAAGTATGTATAATGTACTATATATATGTATATTTTTAAATTTATTTGACATAGGGATGATTTACATCGGGATTTCGCATGAGCGTACTATTTTGGCTGCCGGGCATTGTTGTTGTTGCATTTTGATCATGATTGCTCAGTATCTTTTCCGTCTCCTGCCGACTATTGGCCATTATGCGGCGTATTGTTGGTGCGCAGGGTGTACGTCAAAGTCGCGATTCCTGCGCATGTTCATGTCAAACCTGACTGTGCGCATTCATGTGCATTGTTTCGGCCTCAGATGCGGCACTCAATTGTCCGGCGGGATAATACTGCAAAGAGGCACAATTGAGGTACTGTTTGAGCGTTAATAATGGGTTGAACACAAAGGGAATATGATAATAAGATAATAATTTATATTGTACATATATATATATATATATACATATATAGATATATTTTATATACATGAGTAGCTTAGCAACAAAGCAAACAATGCAGCTGCAAGCCCGGATAAATTTATGAATTTGTGTATTGGTGTTGTGATGACGAAGTTTACTGTTGAGGTAATATCAAGCTTATGCAATATTCTTAAATTATTGTATGACTAATTCGGTATCTTGATGCCAAGCAAACGATAAGTTGTAAATAAATTCAGTTTACAAAAATGAAATATAGTTTGACATAGTTGAAGTGACAATATTCAACTTCGTGAATTAAAAAACAATGTAACCGTTATCGCCACACCTTGCTATTGCTGTTAATTGCTAGAAAATACTCTTAGAAATAATATAGAGTTGGTACCGAAAATCCGCAAGACCAAGAAGTAAGTATATGAACTTATCAACAGGTACTAAACTGCATTTTACTCACAAAATATCTCTCTGTGGTCGGTACTACAACCAAAAATTAATCATTGAGATTTAAAAAATTTATAAACAATTTGTTATTTTTTTTTTTTGGTGAAAATGCTTCATTGTAGTTCCGGTCGTAACCAATAAGATATGGGATTAGAAACCGTTCTCACTCACTCACCAAAAAAGGATACGAGTTTTTGCGGCATTTTAAGAGCTGCCACTTAAAAAAAATCTGTTAATATTTGTATACGTCTAATTATCTGCTTACAAAAACTTTATTTTTACAATGCCCACTGGGTGGAGGTACCTATGGCCGTTGCTAGCAAGCAGAACATGGTTGAGTGGGATTACGGTCAGCTTAACCTAACCAAGAACCTAGTTACAGTTAAATAAGCAATCTCAAAGCTTTTGCAAGACACACCAAATGGTTCGCACATTCGGGACGATGAAAGTGAAGCCTGCGGTGATATTCCAATTGGCCTTAGTGCGTTGGTTACTGACGAGCAGTTGTGTGAGTTAAACTCAACTAAATATTATTGTTAAATTTTAAGCCGCCTCTGGTTGGTTGTTTGCCTTGCAAAGGAGATCGACAATCCCTGGCGAAAGATTACTTTGTCTAAAACCCCAAAGCGGTTTTAGTCCGACCTCCAATTTGCGGTGTACATATTTTTTTAAAACGGCCGGTGGATTTATGGAGCTTTTATTTCGTGTCAGAAGTACACTCGAAGATATTGGTATTCTCTACTAAGGGACGACCACAAATAATAGAAAAAATTAATATTCTATTTCTATTTTTAAGGAATCGAACCATGGACATCAGCCTGCTAGTACGTAGTGCTAACTACGCGGATTTTGGCGGCAATATATTTAATGAAATTACTGTAGAACTATAAGATTTCGCTGAAATCAAAACAGTTATAGACAGCTGTAATACTTTGGAATCAACTAATTCGCGACTTTCGTATTTTATTTGGTTAATTGGTTGAAAATGGAGGTTAGGGACCCGACCGTGGTTGGCCGCCTAAGCCAGTTAGTAGGCTTATTACTCCACTGCTTATCGCATTAATGATTTTGCGAACAGCTAGATCGATTAAAAGAATTGTTATAGTTTTCTTCCACCCAGTCCATAACTATAAGACTGGTGCTCCGAACAACGTGGAAGTTTTGACATCACAAGCGACTGAAAGCCTCTATATTCCAAGTAAACTAAGCTCTCTTTTGTTTGGTGCCTTAGTGCCAGTAAGAGTTCGGTCAGTGTGCAATTCACATTGCCTCACAGAAGCTCAGTCGTACACCCTTTGTTGGAATCGCCACAATATTTAATTGTTTCTCTAGACTCCACTGTATAAGACAATATTGGAAGGTGCTAAAAGGTTGGCGGCAGTCAGTGGTGAAAGCCTTGCCAGACGCAAGCCTGTGTGGTAGGCAGAGTTATAGTGTTTAAGTGTGAATATAAACTGGGTGCGGTTACTGAAAACAGTACTCCAATGCCAGCTTTGCAATTGGACCCATTATATGGATGGCGATATCTTGAAAATAACTTGGCGCTACGTCCTAGGAAAAATAGTGGATTCCGCAGTTCAAGGGAAATGCACATTTGGTTGCTTTTTAGTATTGAAATTAAGAGCGATTTTAGTTTTAACAAAGGATCTAGCTGCTTTTTGATTTTATGCAACGATCGATATATTTTCATATCATATCTGAGTCACAAAACCCTTTTAAAAGGTTAAAAAGTTAAAGTAAAGCAGACTGATATATGAAAGATTATCCGTTCTCTAGGCCAACCCAACCCGGACACTGTTCAATGGGACTTTAGGGTAGGAGAATAAGATACTTTTGAATTACATTTATCCTAGTTGTGGGGGCGAAAAAGTGGAAGATTCCATTGAGCGCTACCTCTTTGACTGTCCAGCCACTAGCATCACACGACATAAATACCTAGGACATCTCTTTTTGACTGCTGGATGGCGCGGCAACGGCTGGTATAGGCAGTATCACATCGTTCATAAGGCACTCGAAACGGTTCGTACAACTGAGAAGCTAAAAACTACTACCCAGCGTTATCCCAACGGGCCTAGAAGCCTCAAGTTTATTGCGCTTGCGTAGTAGAGCAGCTGTCGGTATAAGCAGATTTTGATTTAAGTGAATCCATACCACATTCAATTCAACCAAATTTTACTAATTTTACCGACTTTAGTTTTTTACTAGACGTTCCAGTTTGTGCATAACCAATCAGGATGCAATCAACACCGACTCAGCCACCAAATCTGTTACTTGTATCAAACATATTAAGACAAGCCACTAAAGAGTACATACATACATAATTACCAAATACCTGCTGCTGCTGCGGCTGCTGCTCTAACATGTAATTAGAACTCAAACATTCAACCAAGTTTCGTTGGCTGTGACAGTTGCTGCACAGTGTTGCATTGCCACCTCCGTCGCCGCTCTGTTTGTACATATATATTTATGTGTATGTGTGTACGGGTATATTCGTGTACGCTTAGTTAGTCATGCATGGAAAATGAGGTGGATGTATGAAGGTATGGTTTAGACGTTGTCGGCGGAGAATTGGCACATCGGAAGAGAAACTGTTACAAACACTGAGTGCTGCTGTTATGTACCTACATGTAGCCGATGCTGACTGACTGACTGACTGACTGACTGACTGACTGACAGACAGACAGTATACTAAGTAGTAGTTGTGGAATGTAGAGCTCTTTGTAGCAAAGTAGACTCTCTTGTTTGTTGTTATTGCTTTGGTGTAAATTCATATTAATTTCAGTAACATAAAGCAGTTTGCTTGATAAGGACCTTGCACTATGCCAACTGGATGGGATGGCAGTGGCGAAGAGGATGTGCAGGGATTCTGAAGCTCACCGTTCTTGTTGATTTGGTCAGCACATATGATTATGTATGTATGTATGTATGTATGTATGTATGTATGTATGTATGTATGTATGTATGTATGTAAGTATGTATGTATGTATGTATGCATGGTGGACAATTGTGGTCACCAAGCGATAGATATGCCCGTGTCAGCCATTAGTTGAACGTTATGCTCGACACAGTTAGTGGTGACTGCGACGACATTGACGTCGACCTGATCACCGTTGTGCGCCTGGCAAGGCAGGTATTAATGAACGCGATGATTATTCAGCCATGCGGAGTACGAAAGCAAACAGCGGCGGTGAGGGTGATGGGAGTAAATACACACACACACACACATACATACAAATACATAGACATATACAATATATACATATATATCATTTGCTCTGCTGCACTGATGCGTTCGGGTGAAAATACGTACACAACACAAGGAAGCTGCAGACACACCCATTTATATATACTTATATATATAAAGGATAATTTTTAAGAGCTATAGGAAAGTTTAAAAGAAAAAATACCTAAAACTCAGAAAAATGCATGAAATCTTTATTTGAATCGATAGTACGGTAAATACAATTTAATGTTTGAAGATTATTTCATGGATGTTGACTGTGACTGTGACTGCGCCTCAACTGGTCCATCCGTTTTGTCAAATTTTGGCATACTCTTTCCAACATTTCGGCCAGTTTCTCACGAATAAACGCTTCAATGTATCCTCTAATGCGTCAATCTCGCTTGTCTGTAGCCTTAAGGCGTTAAATCGTACGATCTAGGCGGCCAATTGACCGGTCCCGAACGTGAAACGAAATGTTCACCGAACTCAGCCCGTAAACCTCACCAAACTGTGACTTTTACTGGATGTATTGGTAGCTCTTGCAATGCTTCTGGCTGATCTTCACTTCGAAATCGACAATTTTGCTTACTTACGCACGCATAATTTGCAAGCGTTGTTCATTTTTAAGACCAAACTGAAGATGTTTGATGGTGATACAAAACACGAAACGTGCGTCAGCTGTTTTAACCGGTGTTGCCTAAAAGATAACAGCTAAAACATCACCCTTTACATGTATATGTGTGCACATAACAATATGTGTAAGCTGCTCATGACTTTAGGCTTCAACGAACTATTCTGTAGTAGGCTATATTCGACTCCAACTATCACCCCCACGACCACAACCCTCATATTACTAAGGACGAATTATCTAAACAGGCTTGTGTTTATGTGTGTGTATATGTGTGTGCCTAAATAGCTGCTGAGTAAGCTGGTCCACCATCACTAGTGCTTGGTGATTTGTTTTTATTTACCAGAGTTGCTCATCTGCCTGTCAGCCATATCGCGGAGGCCAACAGAGTTGTGTTGGCAGACCGTTAGGCACCCACAGTGTAGCGGGGCGACTAAACTGAAGTGGACATCGTGGAGGCGTGCAACGGGTATTGGGTAATGTAAGCTCAGCCAAGAGGCAAATGAACGAACAGAGAATTCGGTGTATTTGTATCTCTCCCTTATGGCGACTGATTAAATGTCTCCCTCCACAGCTTTGTGCATGTTAACCATGCATATATCTAAGCGTGTGCATATGCATATGCATACATACGGACATAAATACAAAACACACGTCCATAAAAACCTATGAAGCTTAGCAGTTGAGCTAAATGCAGGGATATCGTTAACGCGTTCGGCAGTACAAAATATGTACAATGAGTAAGCTTTGAGCGAATATGTACTTTAGATCCAGTTACAAATGTAGATATGTACGCGCGATTGTATATTTGTTTGGTATATTTGCAGTTTGTAGAGTCTCTTCTACTCATATACATACATACATAAGTGCAGCAAGTGCTGGATTTGTTGTTTGGCTTGCATCCGTTCGTCCGTCCATAATCGTCAGTCCCTAGTGCATTTGCAACGGTCCGGATGTAGCGTTTCGATTGCTTTATAACCGTTTTAGCTGCTGTTCTAATGAGTTTTGTGCACAACCATGATGTATGTATGTATGTACGAGTATGCAGGTATGCCTCTTGTGTTTGCTCGATAACGAAATATGTATCTACGCACATTTTGCAACAGATTTTTTTCCACCAGCCGATCTTATGACGTATGTGTGGAGTCGAAGGAATGATCTTTAAGAATTCAAGAACTTTAGGTAAAAGAAATTAGTTAGACAAGGGTACAGTGATACTTTTGGTTTTCAAAAAGATCGGTAGATAGGTTGGATAGGTTGGATCGCAGTGAATGTTATGTTGAGTGTCGTTGAAGACTACATTTCAGAAAAGGGATGAAGAACAACGCCTTGTGGTCTGCTGTTATTAATGTCGCCCTCAAATCATGTATTTTCCCATTTAGCTTCGACAGCTCTGGAGAAAAAATTATTATATGAAGTTATATATATTTTGCTGCAATTCTGTCAAAAGAACGTATAATTGCACCAAGGAGAACGCTATTAAGTGTGTTTCTCTATGAAATCACTATATGTAAGGATGTGTTCACTAATCTTTATTTACAATTCTTCATAAAAGTCAATCAGCCAACTCAAAAACGAATATAGACTAATTGGTCTAGCGAACTTCTCCTATCCTTCAGAATGAAGCTTACTTTGATTCTGCTTTAAACTTTGGAAATATTCTCCAGTCTTACACATTTTCCAAAATCAAAGAACTCCCACAGATTTTTGCTGCTGTGCTGGCACTATACCGATGTAAATCGCCCAATTCAATCAGCGATCATTCAAATCTCTAGCGCTTTTAGTAGGTTGGCCATTATAAGGAAAGTTTCAAGCGACTGTAAACGACTCATAGTCAAATTTCACCCTCGTTTTTTTTAAATTTCCTAAAAAGTATGGGCTCTGGCCAGCATTTGTATAAATCTAGAGGACATTTTTCTACGCTTCCACGGAAAGTCCTCCATGTCGATCTTTAACCTTTTTGTTCTTGGAGCTATGAAATCCCCGATCTGCTTCTCCGATCTTTGTTAAGAAGACTTCTGCTCAATTCGTTAAACTCCCTTTTTCACCTGAGAACTTTTGTCGCTGTGTTTCGACATGCAAAGCTGGAACATCAAAAATAACTGTTGTTTGAAGTAAAATATACCAAATCGGAAGAGGATATGATGACTTCAAGAACCTACCCTCTGGCGGCTGTAATACCTCGTAATAACCATTACAATTGGTCCTTTGGCCCAAGCAAATTTTGGTTCAGATCTCTTTCGCCTTGAGTGTAAGGTTAGAATGTTTTTTTTACGAGATTCCCAAACTATTTTTTATAAAGATGAATAAAAATTGAGACTGCACATTGGTACTCAATATCGGACGATGGTCTCTCATATTACGGTAAATTGGAGGTATAAAAAATGGCAAAAACTCAATAAGAAATAATGTTTTTGGAAGCATGTTGGATAAAAATAACCTTACTTTAGGACAAAATGTAAACGCTAAGAACAAAAAATAAATGGTTGAGGCTCATATTTCATACATATCTTTGCATATTTGATCTAATCCAAACTATTTTTATCCAATTTTATTTTTATATGATCAAAATTAATTTCAACTCATTCAAAGTGATCGAAATACCACATTTTACTTATCAGCTAGCACAATTCCAATGTAGCTTTTTTAATTTTATTGAAGTCTCTCTGTTATATATGTGGCCTCGTATTCGTAATAACACCTTATATACTGTGGATGAGACCAATCAACCGATCAATCATAAGAGAAGTGGGCACGTTGCCAGTACGAAATCAACAAAGAAATGTTCGGTTTTCAATATTTTGGCGCTCACAAAGCGGTCCTAATCGTATTCCAACTATTTCGCAGTTTTTTAAGAACCTGCTAATTTTTTTCATGTCGTTGCAAAAAAACTTTTGACACGGCGATATTCTACAAACTGTCGATTTTCCGAATAAGCACTGTCTTCTTACTATATGCTAAAAGTACTACCAAGGACAGTGATTACAGCTAAACCAGATAAAGACCCAACCGTGCTGGCAACATTTGGATCAATTAGCCTGTTGCGTTGCTTCTCCAAATTTTTAGAAAAAAGTGTTGCCATCAAAAATCGCTTTCTTCACGAAAATGTTTTTATTCCTACAAATCAAATTGGTTTTCGCAAGAAACATGGCACAAATTGCACAATCTATTCGAAAACTAATGAAATAAGAAAATCCTTTTTGATGTCGCCCAAGCACTTGACAAGGTGTGGCATTATGGTCTCATTTATAAAATTAAACAATCAATAGCTAATACCTTCCACAATATTCTTGAATTCAAAGCAACTTCGAAAATGGTGAGTAAAGTCGTTATTGGAGACGAATCTTGGAAAAACCAAACAGCAGCTCAACAGCAGCAAGCCCACCCGTTAAATCTGAGCCCCAAAAATAAGCAGCAAAAGTAATGAAGTCAGTTTACTTCACCCGACATAAAATCATAGCTGCTGTTCCACCGGAAAAGGGTCAGACAGTAACTGCAAAATGGTAAACGGAAGAGTGTTAACCAAAGAATTTCAATAATTTATTGCAAAACAGGAAGAAAGAGGACTTGGGGTGCTACTTTTTACATCACGTCTAGTGCGAACTTTGATCCGGAGGTTTGACTGAACCATACTTCTTTGAAAATGCCAATATCGAGACTGCCACTTTCAACTCGGACCATTATCATAATATGATTACCGACCTTTGTTGGCCTTAAATTCAAGAACATGATTTGGACACAACATGAGCAAATATGGCTCTATTGCGAGAGAAATTTCCCGTCGGCGAAATATCTAGACCCCTGCGGGTTAAGGGTTCAAGCATTTTCCACAGTAAGGCATGTCTGCCGTAAAAGGCGACCAATTCAATTAATCCTACGAAACTTGGGTCCTTATACCGGAACGATCCGGACTTTTATACGGCCAGGGACCGTCACTCCCACAACATTCTCCAAATGAATATTTTTGCGGTTACAACAACAGCAAAAAGGAATTTCAGGAAGAAATTAATTTTTTTAAATGCTCTTAGCATTTGATTCAAGCTTATTTTTGAAACCGAAACTTGATAATTCTCGCTTTTACCCATTCAATTCAACTCGGCATTCTTACATTCACACTTAATAAAATGCAGTATATTTGTATGTTTGCCTTTGTATGTACTCATATGAAATAAAAATCGTCAGCAATGTCACTAATGATGATTATGATCAACACATACATACATATAATACATTAAAATTCTTTCTCAACTTACCCCAACACGTCCATTATCATATTCTCTGCTCGCTTGAATAGTCAATTTCGCTTTAGAATGCATGGCATCTGTTAGGGAATTCCTTTGATGTGAGCCACCACCGGACGCTGAGCTCAGCATGGAACCGTTCGCTTTTTGTGCTGACGCTTTTCTGCGAAAGCAAAACTCAATGATAGCCACAAAGACGGCCACCAAGAGGCCACCAATCAATATATAGAATATACCAGCCACATTACTCAACGACAATTCACTGCGTGACGTCTCCTGATTGTCCTTGTTGAGGTTGCATTCAGTTTTGTCATACCACCATTTATTGCGCAATTTTATCAATTCACCATTCTCCTTCAACGATAGTACAGCCAAATTAATCGGATCTCTGTGTGTTCGTATACGTACATATGTAATCCGAGCGCGTTTGTGTGCGTGTGTGTGTGGTGGGCAGAGCCAATCACATGGGTTTGGGTATGGGTGTGGGTGTTTGAGTATTAGAGCAAATAAATTGGTTTCGCGTGCATTTGTATGCCAAAAGTTGGCCAATAGATATTTAAATAGTTTGAATTTGGTTCGGTTGGATTTATGAGGTTAGTGGGTCGTGTGGTTTTCGCAAAAAGTTTGTTGTACGAGTTTAGTGGGATCAAAGGAATTGTGCGGTGAATTGGTCATTGGTTGTTGGTTGTTGGTTGTTTTAGTTTTTTTTGTTGTTTTTGTTGTATGCGTGCAGTGGTGTTTAATGTTTGTTCGTTATGTTGTTACGGTTTTGTTTTTGTGCAAAATGGCATGCGGCATCATCGTTGTTATACACAATTGGGTATATACGTATAACCATCGAATTGGCAGCATGAAAAAAAAAAGATCAAAAATACATATACTATAAGGTAGCAACTAGGATAGCCAAGCTTTAATTGCATTGACAATGAGTAGATTACATATACGGAGAGATGAAAAACTTTACCAAAACTTCGTTAGTCCAAACTCACATGCATACATATGTACATATGCTCATATGCATTAAGTAGCACACAAAAAGGCTTTCCATTGCCTTGTTTTTTTTTCATGATATATGCCATAAATATTTATGTGCGTAGGGTAAAAAAAAGTAAATTTTTAATAAAGAAATTCCGTTGGCATACATACATATATTATAAAATATCGCTTGCATGCTTGCCTGTTGCTGTTGGCAGCAGCCAGCCTTTGATGTCGCTAACAGCCAGCTGGTTAGTCAACCAAGCCAAATCAAGAGGTTATGGCAAGCGGTTTGCGAATCGGAGCATACTCACACATGTCTGTATATACAAACATACATCTGTATATCCGAATAATCGTATTTTATATATATAAAGTAAATGTATAAAAGTTATATAAATGAGTATTGAAAAGAGATTTAAATGGAAAAAATTATTGTCAATTGGAAAAAATTGCGTCTTTTTTTAGCGGAATTTTATTAAAATTTTTCTGATTTAAATCGCTAGCATTTTAAAATATCAACTTCAAGCTGGCTGACTTTATCCGCTTTTTTTTAAAGAATTTTTTTAATTATGAGCGCTTTAGTTTTTGGCAAGCAGGAGGTTTAGTTCGGTATTAAAATATTTGTTCATGAAAGAAATTAAATTTTTAAAATTAAAGCCAAAATATTTTATGAACTATTGTTTGTTTGTACATCTTTCGCTTTAATTTTGAAATATGTACATATGTATTTTGGTATGTATGTGAGTTAAAAATTTTTCCGCAAGGATTAAGGCCAGTATTTCAGCAAAAGCTTCAGATATCAATAAAATATTTTGTTTTATTTGTTTATTTGCTACAGTATAAATAAATAATCGTTCTTAACCAAAATATTTGTATTTTAGCAGAAAGCATAGTTTGTACAGGGTCAACCATTTCGCAGTTTCAAAAGTACAGCGTCGTATTTTGACAACTGTCATGTTTAGCTGTCCAACCACACATGTTTTCTTTTTGACAAGCAGTCGTGAGCTAGTAAAAGTGGCTCCCCTAATAACCGCGCTACGCGACAGCATTTTTAAAACCCACAACGAAAATTGTGTTATTCATATGAGGTCATGTTTCGTGCTTTTAGGGGTAAAGCCAGTCTAAAGATTGAAAAATAGTCTCTTATTTTAAAATTTATTGTAGGAATACGAGAAAAGGAATAGAATTTCAATCATTTCATTGTAAATATATTGAAGTATAAAAAAATTTTCTTTAACCAATATTTTGTTACAAAATTGAGGTGGTAAAGTCCATTATTTAATCAATTTTTTTTTTTTTGAAAGGCGTTCACTTGAAGACCCATTTCTTCTAATACAATGGTCATCGCAAGAAAGGAGCCCTGGAGATCTGCTGTAGCAGCTTCAAAAACTGAGTAAAAAATTGCCAATTACTCTTCGAAGCTACCATAATATGTGTACAAGTGCTCAGAAAGTTAAAGTTAAAAGCTCCTTCATGAAAAATGATTAAAAAACCTCATTTTTTAGCTATCCAAACTAGATGTTAGCCTTAAAGCGAAAATGCATTTTACAACCCTCTAAAGAAGTCTACCGCCTTAAGACACTCCCTATGCGAATGTACAGAAGTTAGGAGGAGTAAATTGAAATATCTTGAAGCGTATTTATGCAGTTACGTATATTAAGGTTCGATTAATTTAAAATTCTGCACATTGATGGCTTTTTGCTAAAAAACCGTCTACTATTTATAAGTAGTTTTTTTGATTGAAATTATTTTTTTTTACGGCACAGAACTATTGGAAAAAATTAACACATTCATGGTTCCGCTTATTTAAATTTTCGGCTGGACTAGAGACCTTCAACCAAGTTCCATTGGCTTGAAGAAATAAATAATAATTTTTATGCGAGAAAGTGATCACTGACAGATTGACAAAAGTTACTATGGTTTGGATATCGTTCTTTGCAAAACCAATTAGAATAGAAATTGTGTAAAACACAGAAAACCACAGCAATGTGTGGCCAGCTCTTAAAGAGAGATAAAGGGTTTGAAGTTAGTATAGAAATAAGTATTGGCAGACCCAAACACATATCAACTTGAATTTCACTCATCAATAATCTGATCTTATCGAGTGCCAATACCTCAATGTGCGCTCGGCTGAAATTCACAACTAACTTTGTGATTTATGGAAAAGTATTAAACTGTATATAATTTCAAATAATAGAAATAAAGTTGAACATTACTTCGGCATTTGATATGTTTTTGTGAAATTTGCTTCAACACTTAACATACATGTATATGTGTGTAAGTGCCAATAATGATTTTATAAACAAATATTCGCTTTCAGGCATCTCAAGTGATTTGCAAAGATCGACAAGACATCTCTTTAAGTATTAATAAAATGCACAGGTAAGTGATAAAATCATTTAGTTGCTACGTCGCTGCGTATCTCGCATTTGTCAATTGCTTTGGACTTACTTACTTACTCAACCTTCCTTTTACAACATATTTATAAAGCAAATGTGTTTATATGTATTTATATAAGTACATAAGTCGTGTGTATGTGTGTGTGTTCGTGTGTGTACTCACCTCAAAGGCGATCCAATCGGCGTTGCTATGCCAAATCCTTTCGTATCCAGATTACGTCCAACTTTCATTGTATCGCAGGGTTCTCTCGCATTCACATATTCATTCTTTGGCGATTCCATCAGCAGCGCATATTTGCCTTTTGATGTACGCACCCGACGTATGCCTTCATCGTAAGTGCTCACAAAGACATGCTTGCGCGAATTCATGTACTCCCACATCTTGTTATGTAATCCGATTTGGGATCTCTGAAAGACAAAGACGAAAAAAAATTTCATTTCATTTTACATACATAATAAATTGCACCGTACATGGAGTACATATGTATGTGTATATGGTTATGGTATTCATTATAAATACATTATACTTACATATGTAGTATGTATGTATATTGTATGTAAAATCGGTTGCATATATGTGTGTATGTGTGTTACATGTATTTCAATTTAAATATTTAAGGATGTTCATACATCTCTGTATGCTCAAATACACTTCTATAAATCTTGCTCGACAAAGTGCTCTCCTACGCACACACACCTACACCCATACACCCACCCACAGACACACACACGACCTATATGCATTGCCAAAATGTATAAAATACAATGCATACCATACTGTATATGTAGGTATGTACACATGTATGCACGTAAGCCTAAATAGTTTGGCATACTAAATATGTACATACTCGTATATGTATGTGTATATGTGTGTCTACACGAGAGAGTGGGTTGTTGAAAATTGCTTTCGCGACGCCAAAAAGAGCTGCCAAAATAAAGAATTTCTGAATGAATCTTAAAAAGTTTTGCATGGCCAAATAACGGTTGCCCTATGGGAGGTAGAAAATATTAACGGAAAAAAGAATGAAAAAAAGTTAAAGAATTTATAGAATTTTATTAAATCGCACAATAATTGCATGCAGCAGCCGGAGTATACTCACGTTACCTTTATGAGCACGACTGCGTTCGTGTATATATGTACATACATATCTATGTTTGTACACAAGTACGAGCATGTGTTTGTTAGTAAGCTCGTTTGTATGCGTTGGGCAAATTCAATTAAATTAATAAATTTCCCCATTACCATGAAATATTTGCGGTACTTACAAATAGTTTCCAACTAAATGTGCGAATATTATTATTTTTTTTACACAGCTACACGTAGCTATATGCATATTGCACTAGTTGGTATGAGCAGCGTAATATGTAATTTAAAGACCAATTGTGCCAAAGTAATTGGAAATTTTTCTAATAATTTTTCTTGGCACTGATTACTTAATCTTTGGCAATCGTGGGGGAAAAATTTGTTGGCTGGAGACTGTCGGAGGAAATATAATTATGGTAGCATAATGGCGCATAAAATAGCAAAAAAAATATATATGCCGAGTTTTTTGAGAACTTGAAACTAAAACTTTTGACAGTAAATGGAAAGTAGTAATTTCTGAGCAAACAAAAAAAAAATTAATAATTACTTTCATAAATTTAATGTGAGAGAGGGAAATTGTTTACTAAGCTGCCTCCAAACGGCTGATGCGTGTTTTATGAGGAATCTTTTATGTCATGTCAGAAATACACTTGAAGAGGTCGACATTCTCTGCAGAGGGGCGACTGCAATTAAAAATTTTAACTTTATTTTTTATTTAAATTAATTTTATATAACTTTCGGTGTGGCTTGTATCAATATTTGAACCCGAGCCTACCAACTGATAGTACACAATGCTAACCACTCGACTACCATGGCCGTCAGTTCTCTTTAAGTAGAATAGAGATGTGCATCTATTGATGCTTAATTAATTAATAGCTAAAGTCTATTATCAAGTCAATATACTATACTCAAGGATTTATATCTAATTAAAATAAATAAAACATTATTTTTCATATGAAAAAATTATTAGAGTAATCCTTCTCTGTAAACCAAAGCAACTGCAGGTTTCAAATTCTTAGAATATTTTGTTCCTATATATATAATATATAAGGGGTTTCCATTAACCCTCCGGGAGTGGTCCGACCAGACTTTTTTCGATTTTAATTAAAAAAAAAATATGCTTCTAATAGAGTTACAATGCCACAATCCTGTTTGTAAATAACAGTTCATATTTTTTATACTAAAATAGAAAAATAAAATTTTTTGAAGTCCCCCGTCTTTTTTGATATATTTTAATTCCCGGTTACCTCAATACATGCAAAAGTCAGTGAGAAAAAGAAAAAAATAATATCATAAGCATTTGTGACTTTTAATCATGTGTGTACGTGTATGCGACACTTAAATTTCAAATTCCCAATACAAATAATGTATGTATGGCTGGCGGCCAGACTTCTCCGACCTTCCGAAGTTATATAAATGTTCGACCGACGGAGCTTTAAAGGTTTTATTTTGAATAGGCTGCTATTGCGGTGGATGTCCCTTTCGAAGATGCGATTTTTTTTACATTTGAAAAGCAAAACTACGATATAAACTTCAGCAACACATTGAAATTTTTAAAATTCACTGTAAAAATTTAATCGTAAACTCATCTTGATGCTACGTTAATAAGCAAAATTTCGCATCTGGAGCTTGGCAAACTATGATTTATTCTTCAAAAGCCAACCAATCCTCAACATGCAACTATTTGTTGCCCTTTATGATCCGTAAGGGTCAGTGGAACTTATTTTTACGATAATAAATGGAAATGGATTGCACTATAAAGAGATGATAAATAATTTTTAATTGCCGGAATTGGATGATACTAATCTAGGCAACTTGTACTTTCAACAACACGGCGCTACGTGCCACAGAATCAACGCAACCATCGATATTTTAAGGGAATAGTTTGTTTACATAAAAAAATAACACCTCTGATTAAAAAACTCTATATGACCGAAATTAAAAATTATTATTACATTTGTATTGAAAAAAAAAATATATATATATAAAGAAATTTAATTCATAAATAAGAAATATTCAACTGACGAGGCTAGAAAAAAGCAAATAGTGATGAGTTCTATCGGGGCGCAGAGCTTTTTGACTATATTCTTTTGCTTGATGATTAGTGAACATCTTGATACTGTTTTTTCCACTAAAATCCTTAAGTTATCTGTTTTGACGAATTTACAAGAAAGCCACCTTTTTCGAGTACTGAATCATAAGCCATATAAAAATGTAGTATTCGATTTTTCATCGATAGAGGGCATTGATGATAGAGTGAAGAAATACTACAGAGTTATCCACTTTGCATTTTCGAAAATAAATGTGAATAAAATACAGGAGGATTAACACAACATCGGTAAGTTGACCAGGGCAAAAAAAAAAACTAAATAAATTTTTTTTGTACTTATTTATAATCTTAGTTCTTTTTAACTTCTCGACATAACCGCCATTGATTTCAATGAATTTCTTAAGCCTCTGAAAAAATCTTCAAAATTTCTCTTTTTAGGCTTACCAAGTTCCACATTAACCGCATTAATTACCTTCTTGTTGCTACAAAAGGCCTTTCTTTTAGCTGTTTTTCTAATATTTGTAAATAACCAAAAATTACAATAAAATGACTTGTTATTTCGATAGTGTGGGATGGCGCGTTATCATGATGTAAAAAGTAGCGCCACAAATTCTCTTTCTCTTTGCTTTCCAACAAATTTTGAAAATTTTTTGATAAGCTGTTTTCGGTGTATCTTTTTGCAGTTACTGTCTGACCCTTTTCCAATTGAACAGCAGCTGCGATTTTATATCGGGGGAAGAAAAATAACATCGTTAGGTAATTTTGCAACTGAACTTTGTTGCTTGGATTTTCCTAGTGGGTTTGCGCCTGTTGGGCTTCATATCATGCACTGCAGTAAGGACTCTACCTAGGTTACTCGACTAACCATTTTCGAATTTGATTACAAAAAATACTGAAAAATGCACTCGAGTTTCTTTTTGGGCTGCTCTTAAGTTCGGGATACCAATCGAGGAGATTTCTTCATGTATGCCAGATGATTACTTAACAATCGTGATACAGCCATGAAGTTTAAGTCCAACTCATGAGCAATCATCTTTTGTGTCAATCGTGGTTCTTCGCAAATTTTGGGCTTCACTAGAGCTCTAGTGGCGTCAGCAATGGTAAATTGTAGTCTATTCTCTCAGGACTCGCCCTCTATGGAAAAAATTCCGGTCTGAAATTTTCGGAACCACTTAGAAATATTTTTTAAAAACGTTGCAATAATTCTATATATAATTTGGCATTCACCGAAAATTTGCTTTGAATGTAAAACACGCCGAAATCCAAAGAGAAGCACAGCCATCCTGCGTTTTCTCGTCTCCATTCTGGCTGATCGTTCAATAATTTAAAAGAAAGACCAACAGAGCAATTGCAAAGGATTTGCTTTGATTGATTAAACAAAAACAAATTAAAAGTTATCAACTGACCGAACTTCTGTTAATTTCCTCGTATCTGTATCTTAGTTCTACTAAAAAAAGTATTTTCCTGAAAGCCAACCAAAACACATATATATTCTACTTTTTAATGAGAAATTGTGGAATTGTTATGTACACAGCCAGGCGCACATATCTATCCCGAATATTCTTTGTCGTTACAAAAAACCGCTTGCTGAACACATTTACTATAGGCTGGACATGGAACAGGTGAATATAAAAAGAACTGGAACTTGGGAATGAAATCTCATAAGGCACTTTTTTGGATATTTTGTTTTGAAAATTTACAATTTTTTGCCGTACCTGATGCATTATTCGTCATAGTGTTGTTTCTTTTCCAGATGACCGATTACACAATTTTAGTTTACGATACAATATTTGATATGTTTCTCTACGTCATGCTACAATAAAAGTTGTTGCTGCAATTCTTTCTATTAATACCTAAGACTACGTGAGTGCTTTCTAAGTATATCTTTCCATATATATATATATATATTTAGCGCTTTACATCCAATGATTGAGTCACCATAGTGCACATGCATTGCATGAAAATCTTTCAATTGAAGCTTGTTGAAAAATATGTGCTACACCATTGCGCTGAAAAGTATGCAACGAAAATTCTGACGATTTGAATGACGTGTAGCAGCACAATTATTTTTGACAGCTTTGCAGCTGCAATTGTAACCAACCAATTAGGTAGCATAACGGTAAATTATATGCGAGAACGCTGTGGCTATACACATATTGCTATGTGCATGTATTGGTGCACTTGTCAGCTCACATAGGACATAACAGATACTTATAGAACTGGTTGAAGCGTAGTAAATAAAACTCATGGAAATACATATTTCTTATTATTGAT